TGATAAAGGTATATTGCTACATAGGTAAGGAAAGACGAATTCATCACGTTTATCATAAAGCTTTGATGTTAGGTTCCCATTAACGTTTTTTTCTAGTAAAATATCCAAATATGAAACAGATGTGTCAGACTCTGTGGCATCCTCTATTGCAAGCTCACTGGGATACAAAGAGTCGACATATAAATGGAAGTAACTATTGTTAATTGATAATACGTCGTCGATACATGTATATCGAAATGTCGAGTTGAAGGCCACAGCGAGTGTTTTCTTCTTCTCATGTAGAAGTTTTTGAATAAATTCTGCTTCATATGAATACAAAAAATAGGTCTGCAAATAACGGGGCGCAATTGGTACCCCTTAAAATTCCAACAGATTGTTTGACGACCTGATCTCCAGAAACTACATAGATATTGTCAATCAGAAACTCAAGCATCTTTTTAATATCAACTTCAAAGTACTTGTGTGTACAATAAGAATGTTTTTTAACAAAATAATTTTACAAATAACCAATGACAAAGGTAAGTATATTTACGAGTTTCATTTTGATTGAAAAAGCGCTGTCTATGATTTCAAAAAGTTTGGACTTCAATTCATCGTGGGGAATGATTGTATAAAGTGTTGAAAAGTCGTACGTTCTAATGTTATTGATTTTGGTAAAATTCTGTGATTTCAAATTTTCTAAAAAGTTCCTTGGAGTTTTTAAGTATCCACATCTAATTAAAAAAGGCTTGGTATAACATTTACTGGAACCTGTCAATTAACATGTTATTTGGGGGTACATAATTTCACATATAGGACCTTCTTAAAAAAATGCATTTTTTTTTTACTTGTGAAAACCCTATATTCAGCCAACATATGATAAAATTCTTATCGCATATATATATATATATATATATATATATATATATATATATATATATATATATATATATATATATATATATATATATATATATATATATATATATATATATATATATATATATATATATATATCAAAAACTGCATATTTGTATTATTGGTAATATGTTTAGAGGGCCCAGAGGAAGACTAGTGCATTACTAATCGGGTTACCCTCTTTATCTTGAGACCACTCCTGATTGGGTGCACAACAATGCCTTATTTGTCTATTAAAAAATAGTATAGAAACAAAATACCAAATCTTAATCAGAGTGTCTGTGGCACTTGACTATAGTATTCTTATACTCTTTACACTGTTTGCAACAAAATATATTCAAAAGTCAGGAAACGATTAATTAAACAGCGGTATTGATTTTGTAAATTACGAAACTCGTGACATTTTTTGATACTGAAGGACGAGGTCTACTGTCTAGTTATATCAACTGTTCTTAGTATTATCACATGTTAATTCTTCGCATCCATTTTTGCTTGATTGGTAACGTTATATACATTGGTCACGCCTTACAATATTCCTTATATATTGTAATTAGAACTTTGCTGAGATGAAACAAAATAAAACTCAAACTTTCATTATACTGAACTGATAGAATAAGAATAATATACTTACCTGTGAGTAACGCTAAAATCAGAATCATAAATGACTGTCGAAACCATTCCCTGTTTGCTTCTAACTACTAGGGAAAATAATCTAACATTCATTACGATGTTTCAATCTATTTTCAGGTATTTAATTGCTAAAATTTAATTGCAAGACAGATGTTGAGCAGACGATCATTGTACTGACGTATCACAGAAGAGGAATTTACATGTATATGAAGATGAATCATGAAGGTTGAACGCAGGATACAGTTGTACATGTATCATTGGTTGATCCAAGCTTCAGACACTTTTCGTTACGCTAACTACCATGCAATATATACGATTATTTGTAATTTTCATGGTTAATACATGTAGGTTGTTTGAGTTTTTTCTGCATTATTATTACATGCAAATGAGGCGTATTCAAATAACTAGTTGAACAAAAACATTTCATTCGTCCTTGAGTTTTATCACTTTGTGAAGCAAATGTTGCCCATATTTATGTCCATTTCTAACATATATTTCGATTTAAAAATTAGAAATGTTACCCTATACATATCTATGTAGATTCAATGTACATGTTCATAGGTAGTCAATGAAAAAATAAATATTGATAATTATTTTAAGATCTTTTTGAATCATATCATTGGAATGGATCATGCTTCTTTAAGTGATGAGTGTGTATTATTTTTATTTCAAAAACATTTCAATTCATTTGTAATGGATTTTTCTATTGTTACATGTACAAGATAAGAATTTATCTGCTTTTATCAGTGCTTAATGTCATGTTTAACAGATCTATATTAAAAAAAAAAATGTTACTCCACTTCTCAATAAAGCCTATTATTATAACTATGACTACGGCATTTCTAAAACAATTCTACCTAGATATCTTTTTAAATAATTGATTTCTGTATCAATAGATCCTCCTGGTGTGTAATTGGAGACCATTGCCATTTTTTTAATGGTTTTTCAATTCGGTTGATAGGCTTTCAATAAGACTTGTATTCTTTCTGTCTTTCAAAAAGAAATGAGACTTGTAATAATCAGACTGACTCTAAAATCCGAACTACTGACACACAATATGCACGTTATGTACTTAATTTATTACATATCTAAGATATTAAATATATCTAAAAAAAATAATAAGATTAAGGTAAGTTTTGATACATGCACGTTTATACGGGTAAATTTTTGACCTATAAATGAAGCCGTCATAGTGAAGTAACTCACGAGAACTTAAGTTCCTTCTTCAGTTTGCATGTATTTTTTTTTCCCGAAACGTTTTTTTTTCCTTTCCAATGCCCGCAGTCTCCTTATCATTCTAATAGAAATCACGTAAAACGGAAGAAAATATTTCATGAAAGAAAATTTTGTTTTTTTTTTTTTTAGAATAAAATAGAACGTGCTGATAGGCTATCAAAAATTGCCTGTCATGTCATTCATTGTCATTGAGATGACTTGACGATCATTGAATTGTTCCTGAAAGCTTCTATTTCAGTGACCATTTATTTTAAATGAAAGGTATATTTTCACCCTGTTCCTAATTGAAGACCCCCCCCCCCCCCCCCAAAAAAAAAAAAAAAAAAAAAAAAAAACCCTTACTAGAAGTGTGTATCAAACAACCGCTTGAAACATTGCAGAAGTATTCATCACAATCACATATTCCTTGACACTCTTCTCAATAAAAAAGGATAAGGACAGGATTGACTACAGTTTTCGCCACTGTACCCGGTTGAACATCCCGTAAATATTTTTGCAAAGATAAAAAAAAAGGTATGTATATTCTTATTTCATTTGCAGAAAAAAAAGAATACCAAGCGATTCTGCAAACCCAAGAAGGCTGAAAGAAATACTCATAGCAAGATCAAGAAAGATACAATCTAATATAATATATTTCCTCCTTGGCTGGGGAGATGTTACTACTTTTATATTTTTAGATGATCATTTCTAATGTACTAGGAAGTTACTGACATTGGTAACATAAGATTAAGTATTAGGAGTTATTTTCGTAATTGAGGGTGATGTAAAATATATGTTCTTATTTTACGGCATATTTCTACTGAAGAATGATGTATTAGCTCATCTATTCAAATAAAATTAATATACATATGTATAAAATTAAAACATTGGTTTGATGCATCAAACGTTACATTGACTTTCAACAGTGTGAAATATCAAATTATACACGTGTGTAACTATAGATAGATATCTTTCAAATATTTATAAGAGTCCATAATATTTAAGAACAGATGATACAAACAAAAAAATGGATGCCTGGATTGGTGTATATTTGGGTTTATTTTTGTTGAAACGATGCAAGTAATAAAATTCTAAAATAATAAGAAATTGTAAACCTTCTATAATATTCAAAATTCTACCTTTCTATAACCATCTTTATTAATCTACACGAATTTTTGTCACTTTAAATTCCATTAATGTGAAATATGACTCAAGTTGTTAGTTTTAATTTTTTGATAAAAGTTTGTTTGTATCATCTGTCCTTAATGGATTTACTTTCGCAATGCCGGCTTTCTGTATTCCACTTGTAATCTGCACAACATTTATTGAAGCCCCTATAAACATATATCTTGAGTGATATATCCTGTTACAGCTTTAGCATCATATAAATGTTTAGTAAAAATATTTATTCGTGATGGAATAAATATATTAATTTTAAAATACTAACAAAACCACCTATGATTCACATATTGGAATTCCCTTGGAACATAAACAAAGAAAAGTAAATATGCTTATCAAAATTTATGATGAATATTGACGTTTCATGCATCGTATCTCAGAACACAATTTATGCCATCATATTATTTTTAGGTCCAATTTTCATTGAACGGGAAGTAGATTGATTTTCCTTTTTCCGTCAATGCATTGTTAGGACTTTGACACATCTCTACATGCTATAAAATGATATTACTTATGTTTTAGAAGTGTTTTGATTTGAAGTAAAATTTCGATACTGAGGCCAAAGAGTAAAAACCCCTTAGTAAAATAATGTCTCATTTCCCGAAGAAAAACACAATATATTTAGTATTCCTTTTGCATAGAAAACCTCCCAGTGGCATCCTATCTTTAAACGGATCAGATGTATGTATTCATTATACATCATATTTATTTCGCAAATCTTTTCAAGAATTGCAGCATTACATAGCTAAACATGTCATGGGAAATTGCATAAGCTGCAGATAATGTGAATTTAAATTTTTTGACAATAATATATATAACTTTCCCTTTTCACTATAACTCCAGGTAAATTTAAGGTAAGCAGTGAATAAATATAATGAATCAGAATGTTGTACATTCATGAAGATAATTTTCATAAATGAATAAAATAGTTTTTTTTTTTAATTTTACAATATCTAGCGTTTTCTTTTCCTTTTCCGGATTTTGTTCAGTTATTTTTTCACATTTATTTATTTTTTTTTTTTTTTGAAGTAACAAACCGAAAGTACGATCGACGGGAATTCCACATAAAACATATGTAAAATGGCTTGGCAGGTTGATCCCGAGGAAATGGATACTCATGATGAAGAATTTCTTGGTCTTCAACCTGAACCAATGGATTGTCACGGTCAAAAAATATGTATTTCAGAACATCAGCATATGAATCCTGCTGGAGGCTTCGTCTTCACCACAACCCAAGAAACACAACTCCAGCGCTTTTTGTGTCTTGGGGCATCTTGCAATGGCTATCAAACCGGACGTCGAAGAGAATTAAAACTAGATGATGCCAGGTTTATATTACAGTAAGTTTTCAGAAGAAATTCATTAAAAATTAGTCTTCAATCCAATCTGTCACGTCCCTGGCTAGACATAGAAAATGCTTAGGAGCCTAGAAATAATTAAAGTGACCATAATGACCTCTGTTGAACTTATTTATATGAATTGAAAAGAGATTCTGCATTAAAATTATCCTTTTTTTTAAAGCTTATTTTACGCATATTCTGAAGAAAAACCAGAACTTATTCATTAGCATCAGGAAATAAATAATTCAATTATGTCTCTTTTCTTGGAATACATTCTGTTGTTTTCCTTTATACATGTAAATTTATTTTAATCCATGTTTTTTCAAATAAAATTATATTTCGAACAACAATCAAATTTGTTTTCTATCTTGAGACACATGGACGTTGGAGCTTTTTTTTTTCTCAGATTGAATACTCATATAATTTTTTGTCAAATAAAATTTGTTCTGCTATGTATGCATGTAACTTCAATTTATCATTTGTTTTATTATCATGAGAGGTATGGGACATTGTTTTGTCTTATCCTTCATCTCAAATTGCTTTTTAATTTCTGATGAAATAAGCGAAAAAATGTTTTGATATTAACAGACGAGTTTAAATATGTTTTGCTGGCATATTTCTGATAACAAGGACAACAAGTTTGAGTTAAAATGGTTTACATAGTCTGTTCTTAATGAACGATTCTATTGCATTTTCTACGGAAGCAAGTACATTTTTTTAAAATTTCTTGGAAACTGTAATTACATGGATGTTTCAAGAAAATCACAGAAAGATGCTCAATGAATAACCATAGTCTTTTGTCATTATTTTTTGAAAATTGTAGGGCAAGTATAGAATATGTTTGGAAATATATACGAGGGGTGATCAAAAAGTTCGCGAACTATCTCTATATTTACAAAACCACAATTCAGATCAGAATGAAATTTGGCACACATATAGTAATACACATGTTTTATAAATAACAGATGTTAAATAATGTTTTGCTCCGTGTTTGTGACGTCACAATGTGAAAATGACGTCAATATGTAGGTCACTTGTGACAAAAAATGGTTGACTCAGTCGTACTCGAGAAACGAACGGCTGTAAAATTTAACATATCTTGGAAATTCTTTTGCAGTAGAAAATAATAATTTGTACAAGGTTTATGAAGACAAAAGTCTTAACAGACGTTCAATCATTAATTAGATTGATTGTTTCAGTGAATACAGGGAGATGGTTAAAAATGAGGTTTGTTATGTTGCCCAGCGAAAGCAAGCCGGGGGAAAGATGTGTCCTTAGCTGAGCTATTTGTTATATAACATCGTCAAGTTACAATTACAAAAATGGTTGAATATCTTAACAATAATATAATCATTAAATCCCTGAAATATCGTTTACTTTAGACTTTAAACGTATGAGATATGATAAAAAGAATGCGCCCATACTTTATCCACATTGGATAAACGACGCTCCGAAGACAGAGAACTCGGGTTGTGATGGGTCACCATACTAATTGTGGGAAGGGATATCCTTATCCAACCATTCTATTGCCGAGATTTGGCCATTTCTGACAGATGAATTGTTCTTGTTTTAAAAAATAACTTGCATGGTAAGAAAAATAAGACTCGGAAATATCTTTTAGTTAGCTTCTTTGAACAGACTGCTACGGAGCATATCACGTGACTGTCTTGATCACGTGATTCGCGCATGTGCAGAACAATGGCAGATGTGCATTAAAATCGGAGAGGACAACTTTAAAAAATATTAAACACTAAAACCTCATTTTATGTCTTTGAAGGAAGGTATTAAATTAGTTCGCGAACTTTTTGATCACCCCTCGTATATTGAATGGCAGCCTGTCCAAATGGACAAGAAGGGAAAAAAAGTTAATGATGAGCCCTCGAGGATAAACAGAGGATATTTTATTAAAAAGGTTTTCAAATTTGTATAAATGCGATTGGAAAATCAAGCTAGAAAGCTAGTCAGACGTACATTTAGGTTGCCGATGGCCAAACTTTAATCATGTAATCCTACTTGAGAATATATGTAGCTCAGGTCAGATGAATATACTAGTAAGTTTTATTTTCATTATGTAAAATTGAACTCACCAGTTTTATTTTCTCTTTTTATCAATAACTTTGTAGCGTTTAAAATATGTATTTTAATTTTACAATTGATAACTGATTTTCATTTTTTTTTTTTTAAATTTAAAGATTGGTAGGCGATGGATATGGTAAAAAGGTGGTGGATTTTCTAACGGATTTCTCTACAAATTGTCGTTCATTCAAGCAGGATCCTACTTCATTTACTTTGGCGCTCTGCTGTCGGTCCTCTGATGAAGTTACAAAGCATGCAGCCTTTGCAGCTGTACAGAAGGTTTGCAGAACACCAACCCATCTTTTCAGATACCTTGATTACTGCCAAAAAATAAGCCTTGATTTGACATCAAGAAAAGGATGGGGACGGGGACTTCGTAAAGCAGTATATGATTGGTACCGGGGATATGGATCATCAGAACGAAATCTGAAGCTTTTGGCTTTACACCTCACAAAATATACAAAAAGATATGGTTAGAGACACAGGCAAGCAATCCGTCTCGCTCATCTCAAAGTGGAAGAAGGCAATTCTGCCTTGAAGTATTTGATAATAATTGCAAGGAAGGGGAAGCGATATGCCGATTCTACCTCGCTACTTGACAAACTTAAGAAACAGGAAAAAAATAATGAAACTCATCTGAAAGCAGTTGCTGAATTGCTAGATGGAATTCAGAGTGCAAAGAAAACAAATGATAAAAATGTGATTATAGACCTTATCCTTAAGCACAGGTTAGTCAGAGAAAACATCCCAAGTTTTTTCTTAAATGAAAAACAAGTTTGGTTGGCCCTGAGTAGACATATGTCGATGACAGCTCTAATCAGAAACCTTGGAAAAATGTCAAACTTGGATATGTTCATTCAAGAAAATCAACAATCAGACGAAGAAGAATCGTTTGAAGAAAATTTGATCTTGGGGAAATTGCAAAACAGAGAACTTATTTTAATGGAAAAAGTCCACCCAGTGATTTTTCTGAAAGCAATAAACCAGTACAAGAAAGGTCACAATAGCTCTGAGAAAACAAATTGGGCGGTGTTACCTCAGATTTGTACTGCCCTTGAAAACGGATTCTACTTATCTTTTGAAAACATCAGACCCACTGGCAAACGCTTCCTGGTTGCAGTAGAAATTAGTAAATCGATGAAGGATGACATCCAAGTCCCAGGCACATTTTCTTTACGTGCTATAGATGTTGCCGCCTTCATGGTGACTTTGGCAGCGAGGACAGAACAGCATTCTGACTTCATAGTCTTCTCATCTGAAACACCTGAGCCTTTATCCATCCAATCAATTGCCACAATAGAAGACGTTATCGGTAGAATTCAACATATTGCAGCTACTACAAGTAATTCAGCCTCTGATGCTTCTTGGGTTTTTAAATATGCAATGCAGGAGAAGAAGCGTTATGATGCAATTGTAATATACACCGATTCCAAGTCTTGCAAAGGACATCCACATCCTGTGGAAGCTCTTAAAATGTATCGCAAAGCGACAGAAAAGGAAGATGTACGATTAGTTGTTTGTAACTTATCCTGTTCTGACATGACTATTGGGGATATAGAAGACAAGTTAACAATGACAATATGTGGATTTGATTCCCATTGTCCGCAAATCATAATGAACTTTGTTCATGGTATCCTTTGAACTGCATCTCAAATTTGCAACAATACAACTTCTTGATAATATCAAAGTACTGAATTAGTTCTAACCTTTTGAATACTTTTAAAAAAAAATCTGCATCAGCATGTTAAACGAATGTGCTCGTTTCTAAAATCGTGGCAGTTTTGAGATTAATCACTGTTTGTCACCTTCGCCTTTTTCATCCTGAATGTATACTCCGTCGTTAGCTTTATTCAAAAACATTAAAACAGAACAGACAAAACTGTTCACTCCAGAAAGTTTGGCAACCACCCCCTACCATCTTGGGACTATGAAAGTGTGATCACTTTTTTAAATATAAAAAGTGCCATTAGACCTTTCCATGTTTATGATTCAAGAATTAGTTTGGGGGATAAACAAGTACATTATTATCTTTAAGCATGTTTTGACATTTTGTCCTTTGATCAATGTTTAAAATAAATTGACATTTACACATCCTTCATGTATATTTATCATAACATTGAAACGGAACATCCGATTCTAAAGTAATAGAAAAAAGTGTCCTACAAGTTTAGATATTATATAGTGAAAGGTAAATTTTGTATGATTTGTACAAGTATCTAAAATATTATAAGATTAATAATTAAACAAAATACTCATTTGTCTGATAATTAATTTTTAAATATTGTAAAGTTATTTAAACATGTTAGATATAATTGCTATACATATTAAGGAGTTAATTTTCATTATTTGCTATTTTCACGTCTTCATTTTCCAAATTGTTTTTTGAAAGAAAATGTAAAAATAGCAAAAGTTATGCAAATAAGACCAAACTATGTCCCCTCCCATGAACAGTACATCAACTAATAAAGTTAATGAAATTATCACATCATGCTTTTTCTGACAATAACAAGAGAGAGGCAGTACAAAAACCGAAGACTGTAAAACATCACATGAAATATTGTATTATTATGAATGTTTTAGAAAACAGAAAGAGTCAGTGAGATATTACTTTATAAAGCAGATGTTCTCCATTGATTTTTGTTTTCGTTTGATTTCAGGATACCTATCATGTCAGACAATTGTCATTGAATAAATTGTAGGCAAATATCTTATATGGTATACCTATTTATGCAGTCCTTAAAATTTAAATCTTAATTGTATTTGGGGATATACCTCTTAATTGTATCCACATTTTCATATTGCATTTAAAATAGTTGTATTGTACTTATATATTTAGAGTTTTATATTAATTCTCTCTCTTACAATACGATATCTAAGAATATATATATGATCTCCCATTATTTGTGGTAAGGCATATGTATCCACAACGAGTTGGATACAAATCAAATCTGACCAGAATCCGTGGTGCATCCCTTTTTCTTTACATTTTTACGCATATCTGTAACATGTTTATGAATGAATAAGCTTTGTTCGACTTCATCACTTTCACTAATTTGTCAAAAACAATATATAAAAAAGATAATGAATGTTGTTGATCAATTGTTATTAGGTAAAACATCGGTTGTCATGGATCTGTCTTAAAACCATATTAACCACAGAACTGAATTCGAAGGCATAGAGGATTGTCTTTTTATGGTAAAGCCAGTTTGGCTACATGTATATGTCAAAGTCACAGGCTAATACCTGAGTTCCTTGAACTCTTAGCATTGTTTGTTTTATTTAACGGACTATTTCATGAAATAAATTGACATTTGGAGAAAAAAATTATAAAAACTATGCTGTTATTTTGACTTCATATGAAATTGACTTTGAAGAAAAAGAGTCATCATTTTTTATTAGTTCTTTAGATTTTCAAAGGTAAAAAAAGGATACGGGAATGAGCCTTTGGGTTTAATTAATTTTTAAAGGAGTAGGAACCAAAATGTGAATCGATTTTCATTAATTCTTTAGACCACCAACCTTTTAAAGGAAATCAAGATCATATAAATGGGGAAAGCTGTACTTTGCATTTAATTTCTTAAAGTAAAATAAAAATGAGCGAATTTAGGGCATTTTTTTTACTCAGTGGTTTTAAATGCTTTTAGTAGTATAATAACACAAGGTCTGGAACAAGAGTTTTGTTGAGTAAGATTCATCCACCCTCCACAAAACTTACAAAATAATAAACAGGTCGAGGAATCTACCTTATATGGATATTGTTGTAATTGCGCACAGAGGTGTTTACAGCGAACAATGGTCCAATCCAATGAATGAGCCGAAAAGCATGATGGTTTAGTACATGTTTATATTTTACTACAAACACGTGGGTCAGGCAATTTTAGGACGCGATTTCAAATGACTGCTGGAAAGTCAACTTATAATTATTTTGAATTTTTTTTTTTTTTTTTTTTTTTTTTTTTTTTTTTTTTTTTTGAAAAACACGAAGAATAGGTTCTAATTAAGATTTTCCATGCTCACATTAACAAACAAAGTCAATTTTCCGTGTTAAATAGTACGTTGAAATACCGCTCAAAAAGTCTTCACAAGTAAATAAAAACCCAGTTTTTATAACTTGATATTCGTAAATTCGCCATGCTGCTGGTGTTAATCGTTGTTACTTTGTTATTTGTTTACTAGAAATTAAAAGTTAATGCAGTTATAAAAAAAAAACGTAAGTCTATTGCTGTACGGTATTTTAATTCTCAAGTACATTGATCATAGAACGTGTATTAAGTAGCATATATATAGAAGTTGTATACATAGTAAACAATGACAATACATGAGTACACCTCAGAGTCGATTGTTTTGGACCAGAAAATAGTCACGTGAAATTCATATTCACTGATAGTACAGCACGGGAAAAGCTAAAAGGAGATTGTCCACTAACGGACTTGTACAATTGAATGTATGAAACCCATATTTTAACGTTGTAAAACATTTTTATGTAAATCTGAGCATGGAATTGGTAGATAATGTTGTACATATTGTATTAAGAGTGTAAAATGCTTGGAAAATGCATCCTGTCTTTCCGAGAGCGATTTGAAAAATTGGCCTTTTCGAAACGCACATGTAGTATTTTTTGTAGTAACCCATAATGCAACTCATTTAGCTGATTGGTCGGTTTGTCAGTCACGTTGGTGCCTCATTTAGCATGTAAATTTATTCTGACGTCACAGAAAATAGTTTCCTCGACCTAATAAAAGGGCTATTATACTTTGGAAGGACTGGTCGCTGCACTGAAAAACATTTTCCGAAGTCAATTTCTTTTCCAAGTTTCATTTGAAATGTTAATTGCAACAGCTGCACAACTTTAGTTTGTATGTCACAATGCATCAATGAAATAAGAAGAAAAGACGGAAATCACTACCACACTTAACTCCCTCAGCTAAATTGCAGCAGAGATTCAGGTCTCAAAGTATCTTTGCTATATTTTTAATTAATGTACATTTTTGTAAAACAAAAAAAATGTAAAGAAAAAAAAAATATCAGATGACAAAAACCTGCGTATTATTTTCTAAACATGTGACATGTATGAAACAAAATTCAAATTCAAAAAAATATATCGATTATGTTCCTTCTGTGTATACGTAGATTATGCCTTGAATATATGTGCATTATTTAACTAAACTGCATTTGAGGGTGTACACTATTCGTCATTTTCTTTCTTCAAGACGACAGTAAATCACAATGTCCGTCTTCTTCCTCTGACAGAACATCGCCATAGCCCATTTTACCCGTTCGGTTATCGTATCAGGAATAATGTCAACTGCGCATATCTTAACTTTTCACTGTCGCCGCATTTCTAATCCAGCATCAAATTATTTTTTTTTCTGTTGAACGCTGTTATGCGTAAAACTGATTAATCCAGCAGAACATATTTAAATAATGAAAGATAAACTGCTATACTTCCAAACTTTTTTTCTGAGATAGCGGCCTTGTTTTTTTTTTTTTTTTTTTTTTTTTTTTTTTTTTTTTTTTTTCACGTTTAACTTTCCTAATTCCTTTAGATTCAAATCAGTACGAAACCTTTAGACTAATCTGAAATTTAGATTTAGGTTAAAATCTCTAAAATACAATTTTTAAAAACAAACGAAAATTCACAAGTCAGCAAACTAAAAAAAAAAAAAAAAAAAAAAAAAAAAAAAATACACAAATCAGCACGCGTACTGTTCATTATGTGAGTCTATAAAATTTTGTTGCAGAATGTTGTACATTTTTTTTCACCATACCTGCATGCTGTCAATTGTAGAACTCTCTTTGTTTGCTATATGAAATTGATTATATAATTATATAATTGTATAATAGAGATCTGGTTATTGTTCACTGAGTCTCCGTTTCAAAACATTCCACATTTTATGACTTATGGTGAAACCGTTAATTTGTTTTCAGAGTTTATGTGATCGTATGTGTAGTCTTTTTTTTCCAAATGTGTTTCAAGATTTAGATCCACAATAAAGTCGAACAATTACTAAACACCACAAAATTTATTTTTTTTTTACACTGATAAGAATTATAAAAGAAAAGTTTTTTATCAAATAAATATTTTTACAAAGCACCACATACAGGCATAAATTACCATTAAATTGAATATGTCTCTACCGGTGAAAATTGATTGATTGATTGTATGCTACCGATGAAGAAAGTAGCACGAAGTGTACTGTTTAGCGAGGAAATAATTAAAGATGTTATTGATAGAGATGTTGGTAGGCAAATAAAGTCTAAATAGTTATTAAGCATTACAAATATTTAAAAATTTACTCTTTCTTAGAATTATAATAGAACGTATATGTATAGCATAGATATATTTACCGATTGCAAAAAGCTGCATTGAGTAATGATGTAGTAAAGATTTTATAAATTTACGTTAAAAATTCAACAATCTGGTAATAATCAAATACGCCACACGTAGTAAAAAAGTTAGGAAAAAAAAAACCCTCATATAATTATTAGCCTTTATCCGTACGATGGAATATTTTCCCCAGGTAAATGCTTTATAGAGGCATCTTTAAAAAAAAAACTTCCTCAAAGATACATTTATTATTAGGAGGATTAATATTGCATCCACATGAGTTTCACTTTATTTTCAACATTTCCTGAATTCGTAAGTTC